AACTCAAACGCTTGGAAATAGCTGTTTGGGTGACTCCCCAAGTGCGTTGGAAGCTCTTGTTGCGTTTGCGTTGAGTCTTTAGCCAGCAGAGACTGCAATTCCGCATCTTTAAACTTTGAAAGGTAGAAGATAGTCATTCGCTGGCCTGGGTTGTGTTGGGTCAATGCATGTGAGATCCAACTTCCAGACGCTTGGAAATAGCTGCGAGTAATTGTTGCGTTTGCGTTGAGTCTTCGTCCGATTGAACTGCGCATCTACCCGGGAAGCGACTGATCACCAAGATCGAAATTGCCACTTCTGAAACGCTTGTACCACGTTCCACAGGACACGCCATTGGCACCAGAAACACTGCAAATTGATTCTTTCCTTGCCTTAGAAGCACCATTTTTCCTTGTTGTTGGAATTCGTGTGAAGTGCAGTGCCACCGAATGCGCTGGTTATCAGTAGCCATCGTGAACTCTACTATTCTGAGAGGTTATATAACTCACGCTGATGTGTCGTTCGGTGTTTGAAACCTTTCGTCCGGTCTTCTTAAAGCCACAAAAGACGGAGGAAATATTTTCACTTTAAATGTGTTTTTCAGATCGAAGAAAATCTGTACAAATTAGGTCCTACACTTAATATTTGCTTGAGAACTGTACCCTGGGATAATGACGCCTCGTGACTATGTAACTCTTTCCAATTTACTAAATAAATTGTTCATATATTAACCAAAATAAATCACTTTGCTCAAACACGGTGATCCTAATCCAGTGTCTCGGTCGTGGAGGTAATATGAGTAAAATCGGTAGTGTTTGGGGAAATTCGCGTGTCGATGAGTCGCCTGAATACCAATCACACAAAAGCCGTTACACCTGCGCATCCTCGTGCATTACCAGAGTGATCATAGACATGAATCAGGAATTTTTGATCTGGTATTAAATCATGGCGATCAAGCAGAGAGAGTGTTTAACGTATTTCCACTTGTTAGATGAAAATTCGTCTTTCGATTCAAGCCACCGACAGCGGACTGCCTCCTCGATCATCCACCCTCAACCTCCTCGTCTCGCTAGACCCGTCCCTGGCGCCCACATCCACCCTAGCTTCCATGGACGGTTCAGCCCCGCCGAGTGGCCAGAACGACTATCCGGACTCCCTAACCAACATCTACTTGATCATCGTCATCACGTTCGGCGTGTCGATTGCCTTCGCGATCCTCGTGGTCGCCATCTGCTTCATGTCCAGGGGCCAGCACTGGCAGAACTGCTGTCGGGGATCCGTTGGCACGAAAGAACACGAAACCAAGTCCGGTAACTCGATCGGCTTCTACACGAAGGGCGACAGCCAGTTGCCCGACCACTCGAACACCATGACGTTCTCCAACGGTGACGACTACCTGACCACTACCGGAACGACCTCTTATGGGTTAGAAAAAGGTAACCAACCACGATTTCCATGGTCTGGGAGAGGTACATAATTACGCTTACCAACTGTGTTAAGTTGTGCCTAAATTGCATTTATAGGTAGAATATCGATGCATATATAGAAAATCGATGGAAGTTCGTATAATAAAGTAGGTGACCAATCACAGATTGTACAACCAGAGGTGTAGCGTTAATCAACCCCAAGTTATCCCGCTATTCTCCAAATAGATCTGTTACTACCTAAACAATTAAGATTGACAATTGCCCTCAGTCCTGCCTATATTGCATTCATAAATCGAATATCGACGCATTATGCCATAAATCGATAAATTGTCGTAGAACGGAGAGGGATCGAGTAAAGCTGGGACCTGATCCCTTATAAAGCCGCTTTGCATAGGCATTCAATTGTAACTGAGATTGATTTTTTGCTGGGATTAGCAGCGAATATTGTGATCCATCCAGTGTACACGATTATCCCTTTAGTGTCTCATGCTGTCTGTTGACGATGAAACCACGAAATCATCTTCGTTTTCTCACTTTCTACGATATACTTTCCAAAAGCAAAAATTTTAAACCACCACCAGAGGATGGCTGTTTGCCTAGCGTAAAATTAACCAAACATTTGTGGTATGCATCGGTTGGTTTCCGACAGGTGTAAAGAAGCCCTCGCTATCCGCAAAGAGGTTAATGCTCACTTTATAGACAAATATGCAGGAGAAAGGCTTGAAGTAGTTTGCTAGCTGGAGGTGAATTCGATTTCGTTGAAGCGGTAGAAAGTAGAAAGTTCAGCTCTAGAAGTGAGTCTTGTGTTTAAATGAAGAGTAATTAAGTTTAGCGGTTAAATTTAACCAATCACCTTTGCTTGACTAGGTATAACATGCAATGGGTGGATAACTTGGAAGTCAGTTCAGCGGCGGCTGTATCGATTTATCGATTGTAAATGCTGAACTTACAGGGGCTGAAATCTGCCATTCCGTTCCATTGTAGAAATGCAAGTCTCCACCATGACCCCACTGTCCATGAATGCCTTCTTTGACCAGCCGTTCATGAAACCCATCTGTAATCCGTCCATGGTGACTCCAGGTGAAGACTCGGTACACTCGGAGCACAGGACAACCAATGACGCCGCCTCGGTGGCCACCTTCGACCGATTTTCGAGTCTTGGAAGACTGACCAATTCCGGCTACCCTCCGCTCTCCCCGTGCCTCGTCAACGGTGGATATCATGAGGCCTACTTTGCGCACGCGAATCGTTTTCCGGACACCCAGGCTACGGGAGGCGTCGTGTACTCGTGGTGCGAAACCCCCAACCAAACACCCCAAACCTTCAGTCCAGCGCACGCAAATGCCTGGGCCTCCTGGTAGGTATTCAAGGGCCGGCTGATTCCTTTTTGCGGGCACACGAGGTCCAGTTATTCGTTGGCGCAGCTGGAAGCAAAGTCATCACTCACATGTGCCCGCCTTTTACATCGATTATCGACGTCTCGGCGAATTTCGCAATCGAATCGTTTTCGTAATCCGGTAGTAGAGTTGGGGATGCATAACTTAATCCAGCTGTTATTTACGAATCTGGTAGGTAGGCGTGTTCGGCTAAAACAGGAAAAATTTTGCCGAATACATTCTAAGGCGTTAAGGAACTGACTGTGATAAATTACATGCAAGAGTCAATTGTTTATTGGGTCGCTGAATCCGGGTGCGTACACTCTTGACTGTCCGGACGTACCTATCTGTCGTGTGCTTGATCAGGAGACTGCGAGTGATTAGTTTGTAAGCTGGGAATCATCGGATAAACGTTGGAGTTCATCCAATCGGACGCAGAACTAGCGCCAAGTAGCTCAGTAGGGGTCGGTAAGGGTGTGAGGCGGTTGTTGAATTCCTCGGCTTGTGGAGGTTAATGTTTACGGGATGGTTCAACGTTGCTGCGTCCTTGTCGCATGCGTGGACAGCCAGATGAATAAAACGGCTGTGGCGGATGGTTGGACGTGTACAAGGATGCCAAAGGAGACGGTATGTTGGTGGATGCGACAGCCAGGTTGACGAACGTAACTCAATAAGACTTACCTCACAATCATTTGAACTGTTCACTTTTCAGTTGTTCAGCATGAAACCATCAGTTCAAAGGAGGCGGACGTGGCTTTGCATGTGGGGGTTTATCGCAGGAAATGCGAATTACCGCCCACCTGGGTTGTCTTTTTATCATTCGCCCCTCGGCATGATCAAAGGCGCTCTTACGGCCAGACAAAACGGCCAAAATGTCTATTAGGAGGCGACCACACAACAGCGCACTGTCCACTCCCACTTGAGCAGAAATTTAAACAACTCACCCGTTTATTTTATGGCGGTTTGATCAAGATAAACAGCCACTGTTGGGACAATCGATGTTTTCTCAGGCACTGCACTTTAATGCTTAAAACGGACTTCGGTTTTTTGATAAAATATCGTCATGCTGCAAAAAGCAATCATTTACATCACTGTTCTCATAAGTAAGCTCAGCTACCTCATCCTCAACCTTTTCAACGTCTGTGAACATTTGACTTGACAGGTCATTGCACTTTCACGACAGCGATCATCCGTCCTCAATCTCCACGTCCCACTCGACCCGTCACACTGGCCACCACATCCACACTCGGCTTCACAGA